TTGTTCCTGAGAATACAGCAGAAAGCTGTACATATTTACGCTTCTGCTGTTAAGATCCTCAACCAACTCCTGACTATTATAGGTAAACGCGCTATTCTCAAGCATCTCTGCGTCCTGCACTGCACACTTGCTCACGATATCTGCAACGGGCACTGGATCAAGCTGTGAAAGAAATACAATATCGTCTGGATGCACGATATGCGCCGTATCAGCTATTTCTTCGGTGGCCTGCTCAATCTCATCGTCGCTTTTGTCGATATCCATCAGCTCGCTTTCTCCAATCGATTGCACAGCCGCTGGAGACGCAGAGGTTGTCTCTACGGTGTCAAAGGTAGATAACTTCCAGTTGTGCTGCCCAATCTCCCTCATCGCAGATAATGTGCCGTCTGGATCCTTCATATACTTTGCTTCAAACTGATCCAATTCGTCACCAGAATATGCACCGCCAAAGATATCCGTGCTTGGCCGTTCTAGCAGCTGAACGATATCGTTTTGCGAAGCAAGACTCCAATATAAATACTCCCGCAACAGCTCTCTCCGCCGTCGCTCTAGTTGCTCCACTCGAGACGAGTTCTATAAACTGAATTGCAGGCGAGTCCACTAAATTAGCGCGTCTATTGTTTTTGTGGGTTTAACCACTGCATGCCAGTAAAAAAAAAAGTACAAGCAAATATATAATAATTCTCGCTACAATTTAAAAAAGCTGAATAACACGCTTATTTGCCAAATGCTATGATGTGTGCAGTTGAATAATTAACCAATACACTTCTTGCCTCCATCAATGCTTAAAAAAAAGCTGTCAAGCTATCTGCGTCTAGCCTAAATGGGTTCCTAAAGATAGCTACAACAACAGCTTTCAAGCTTATTGCGGTACGTACCATCACCGTGAATAAGAAACACACGCGTAATACCGATGTGGCCAAGTGCTAATTTAGCGCAGTGTCCCTGAAATAAAGACAAGTCCTAACGACGTCAATAATAGTGGTTGCTGGTGGACGCAGGCTGATAGACACAAAAAGTCTCTGTGCAGACTTTCTGGCGCAAAGCTACACACGATTGCGTATAATGCAGACGTAAGAAAACCAACAAAGATAAAATGAGGAAAATGAAAAATGCTGCAACAAATTAACGCGTCGCGAAAATAGAAAAAAAGAAAAGTAGAGTCAAAACCTGAATTGCCCACATGGAAGAAGCAAGGAGTGGAAATGGGATAACTCGACTCGATTGGTGGCTCGGTTCTTAGTAATCGTTGCCAGCACCATCTTCCCGACGCTGAGCCGCCTGCAGCATGCGCTGCTCCTGTGCTAGCTTTGGACAGTCAAGGATGCGATGCCCTAGACCACCACAATATGCACAGCCGACGCTGGTATCCAGTGTACCATCTGCTAGTCGATGCCGGTCGGTTGGATCAGCAATTGTATACAGCACTGGCGGCACACGTTGCTTAGCCTCAAGCAGGATGTGCTTGAGGTCGAGAAGCACATGCTCAGACGAATTCATATTAATAAATGTGGTAGCCACGCCTGTACGTCCTGCACGACCTGTGCGACCGATGCGATGTGTGTAGTTTTCAATCTCCCGAGGCAGATCAAAGTTGATGACATGCTTGATCTCTGGAAAATCCAGGCCCTTTGACGCAACGTCCGTAGCCACTAGCACATCCTTTTTGCCCGCACGAAATGAGCGCATGGCGTACTCGCGCTCCTCCTGATCCTTTCCACCATGCACCGCCACGGCCTCGACACCCTTAAGCAGCAGATACTCAAGAATGTCATCGACATCATGCTTGTTTTCAGCAAAAACTACCACTGGTGGCGCTGTCTTCTGCAAGCACTCGAGCAGATACGCAACACGCATCTCCGGTTTTACATACTCAACTCCCTGGATAATGTCCATGTTGGCTGCACCTGCGCGACTAACATTAACCACCACTGGCTTCACCAGCGCTGACCGCGCAAAGTCTTGGATCTTTCGCGGCATTGTTGCTGAGAACAAGACTGTTTGCCGCTGTCGCTTAAAGTATGATATTATATCGCGCACCTCGTCTTCAAACCCAACGTCAACCATGCGGTCTGCCTCATCCATACACATGTATCGACACATATCTAGATTAATACGTCCACGACGCAACATATCCTGAAGACGTCCAGGAGTTGCCACTACCATATGCACACCCTTGCTTAGTGTATGCGCCTGTTCTTGCATTGATATCCCACCGATTGCCAGCACCGAACGTAGTTCAGGAAACCCACCGGCCTCAAGTGCCCCCGCCAGCGCCATCAATCCCTCGTGTGTCTGCCGTGCAAGCTCTCGTGATGGACATACAACCAATCCCACTGGGCCTTCGCCCTGCACAAGTGGCATGCGGCACTCCTCCTCCAGCGCCTGCATTACAAGCGGCAGCGAAAATGCCATTGTTTTTCCTGTACCAGTGCTTGCAATTCCAATCATATCACGACCACTTAGTGCCACTGGCAGACCCTGCATTTGAATCGCAGACGGCTGCATAATACCCTTGTCGCGAAGATAGTCTAATATTGGTGTAGGAAAGCGCATCGACCGAAAAGTCAGCAATGGCGGCGGTACATCCTCTCCTTCAACAATTATATGCCACAGCCGCCGCCGCGCTATTGCCTCCTCTGCTGTTAGCGCGCGGTGTCGCGACAGTGGTCGCCATGTCGTACTCATCGGTTGTGTATACACCACGCCCTTTGCTAGTTCAGATGCTGGTGCCAGCTGCTTACGCCGTGCAATTGCCTCGAGCAATGCCTGCTCTTGCTCGCGCTGTCGCTCTTCTTCTGTTTTTTCGCTAAGAATCTGCTTTTTACGAAGAGCTGCCATCTGGTCAAGCAAACTCATATTAGACCTAGGGCCCAGCGCTGCATCTCTGTCTATGTTACCTCGATCACTTTGCCCTACTTCATGATCAGAATTGCCATCCTGGTCGGACACATCACTCTGAAGCTGTCGTCCGCCGCCAACACGTAATCGCTGCCGCAGTTCATCGAGTCGCTCTTGTCGCCTCTGTTTGAGAGGGAGATATGTGTCTTCTTCAGAATGTTCTGCAGTCTGACCCACTTTTTGTCGCTGCTCTTCCTCCACTTCAAGCTCTCGGCGCCGACGCCGGTACTTCTCGATAGCGTTTTCGCAGTCCAAATCCTTTGAGCCAGACATTAACAAAAGGCGCTATGAATGATGTGATTTTTTTTTGCGTTTATAAAGTCAAAAAATAAAACAGACACACAAGACATGGGAAACATGTAAAAAAATTCGGTGGGTATGGCTTGATTTCACGTGCAAAGAGGCGTCAAGCAAAAATATAAAAACAAAAAGTGATGAGAGTGGGATTCGAACCCACGCCTATTACTAGACTGCGACCTGAACGCAGCGCCTTAGACCGCTCGGCCATCTCACCTGCTGTCACGGAATGCACCGCTACTGCTAACTGATGTTGTCGGACTGTGTAAACAGTGCCGACAAAACAGACGGAAACAGAAGAGATCAAAGAAAAGGGAGAAAACAGAGGAATCGGGAGTGAGACAGTAAAGGTGTTTATTTGAATATCGTCGTCAAGGAGTCTAAGTATTCCTCGGCATCTTGCTTAGCAACGACCCTTTTTATAGTCGTTCTAAGGCAAGGTAAAAAGAAAGAGAAAATAGGAAAAAGAGTAAGAAAATGGTAGATGTTGTTTACACAACATAGAACTTATTGAGATCGGCGGGTTGCGGGGATGACTACGGGAATTCCGTTCTCTGACACAAAGGGACGATCGGTCGTCACAGAGTTAGAAAGGGGACGGTCCCGATCTACAGCTTGTGAGATCGGCGGTGTAGATGATCGGTTTGATGTTGCGCGCGCGGGGTCTGATGGTTCGGATGGTTCATCCGGCAGCTCGGTCGGCTCGTTCGGGATCGTCGGAATCGTCGGGACAGCTAGTTCTGTTGGTTCACCAACACTGAATACTCTTAATTTAGAGACGTATTCTTTTTAACATTAATAATAAAAAATTAGCGATGCTGCAAGTGGAAATTGTCATTAAGTTGACAAGAGTTATAGTAATCTAATACTAGTCATATTATTTGTTGTAATGGCAAATAAGCATTAAATTATAATTTTGGTACTATAACCAGTATAAAAGCATAAGAAAAGACCTTATAAGACTTAAAAATTTAATGCTTAGGAGTCAAGCTTGTAGTTTATAGCATCTTTATTAGATGTCTCAACGCTATTAACAAAATAAAAGAATAGTTAAAAACTTAAAACAATTTAGATAATGAAGCTTAATTCGTTGTTGCCTGGTCTCTCCAATTCACTAGCCTAACAATTCTATTAAGCTATTGAATATGAGATGTGAAGGACTTAAAAGGAACAAGACTAAAGTTGAGTGAGAGGAGGGCGCCTTAAAAGGGGCCCTCCAAGTCCTTGATCAAATTCTTGTCCATCAGTGTGGTCATGAGCTACGGACAACTGAGGAAAAGGTCTTGAGGGAAACGGATGTCTTGAGGGGAAATGATCATGAAAAGATAAATGCAAGAAACACTGCGCTGCTATGCGTCCACAGCAGCGAGATTTCCTACAAAGCTAAAGGAAACAAATATAAAAAAAAAACAGTATAAGTACTATAGTGTTATATTGACTTTGGTGTTATTAATAATTTATATTTTTTGTAAAAGTGCAAGTGTATTTATTAGGATAAACCATTTTTACATTTAATTGGGGTTTTCATTGTGTTGTGGATGAAGAATTTAAACATTTGCAACTTGAAAGTATTAGTATAGGTGATAGATAACAGCAGCTATAGAAAAAAGGTACAGAATAAAATATGAAAACTCTATTATTGCTAGTATATTACAACATGTAGAGGTCTACCTATTAGCAAGTAGTTTAGATATTGAACAAAACAACACATCATTATTTTTTATTTATTTTTATAACAATGGACTGCGACTATGTGTTAAGATTTAGGTTAGAAAATAAAGCATTGGTACACTTTGGGTCGAGGTGAGATGGCCGAGCGGTCTAAGGCGCTGCGTTCAGGTCGCAGTCTAGTAATAGGCGTGGGTTCGAATCCCACTCTCATCACTTTTTAGCGTTGTCTGCAGACAAATCTAGAAGCATATTTAGTGAATTTTTTTTTTTACAATAGCTGTCATCACAATTTTACTGGAAAATGATTATTACGCAATATATAGTTTGTATTTTTTTTTTTTTTTGCATCATTGTTAAATATAGGTGTATATGTACTGTTAGTTTGAGTCTATGAAAAGTTTCCTTTTATTATTTTGATGAGGTTGGACGCATTATAGGAAAGGAAATAGTTTCTCTCAAATGAGATAGACCAGCCAACAAAGCAACCAAGCGATCAATGCCCATACCCCAACCAGCAGTAGGAGGAAGAGCAGATTCCAGAGCATTACAAAAAGCAATATCCGGTGGAGGAACTTCTTCATCGCCTTGAATACGTTCCACAGATTGTATACGGAATTTCTGACGCTGAAGATCAGGATCATTAAGTTCCTCATATGCATTTACAAGTTCCTTGCCATTAATAAAAAGTTCAAAGCGAGCAGCAATGGTTTGATTACGATCTGCACATTTAGCCAATGGACTCATAATTGCTGGATGTCCATAAAGAAATGTTGGTTGAATGCACTGCGGTTCGATATAATGACCAATTAACCTATCCAGTAATCTAGGCACTGTGTGAGGGTGAGGAGTAACAATATGATGTTTTTCAAGTATCTGCTGTAATTTAGAAAGTGTCTGATCATTATCAAGATCAGACAACTCCGGAACATGTTCACAAAGTGTCTTCATAACATCAAGACGACGGAAGGGTGTGCCAAAGTCTATCGAATCAATACCATCCGACTGTTTTACAATAGTAGAACCAGTGAGCTTTTTAACCATACCACGTAGCATATCCTCAGACATCTGCATAAGATCCTCAAGAGAAGCATAAGCCTGGTAGAATTCACAAGTAGTGAATTCAGGATTGTGATCAGCATCAACGCCCTCGTTACGAAACTGTTTACCAATCTCATATACACGATTAAGCCCACCAATAACTAATTGTTTAAGGTAGAGTTCAGGAGCAACGCGCATAAATAAGGGCGTATCACCGAATGCCATAGAAGTAGTAGTAAAAGGTCTCGCAGAAGCACCACCAACATTGGGTGAAAGTATAGGGGTTTCCACTTCAACAAACTGTCGAGCATCAAGAAAGCTACGAATATATTGCAATACTTGTGAGCGCATAATCAAACCACGTCTCGCTTTTGGATTAACCAGCAAATCCAAATGGCGGCTACGGAAGCGCTTTTCAGAATCAGTAAAACCTGAACGCAAAGGAATAGGTCGCAAACAAGGTGCAAGTAGCTCTAGTAGTTCCACAGCAAATACACTTGTCTCTCCTGTGTTTGTTTTCCCAACAAAACCAGACGCACGAATAATATCTCCAGACATCAATGTTCGGTTTAGTGATCGGAAGCGACTGATATCCCCAGTAAAGCGTGCCTGCGAAGATACTACTTGAACAGTTTGACCGTCCTGCTCGATATCGAAGAAAAATAATTTCTTGCTAGCCTCACGCTTGCTTATTATACGGCCCTGAACAGTGAGTTGGACATCTGTAAGTTTTGCACCATTGTCCATGGCATGACCCCAACGCGAATGTACAAGTTCATGAGTTACTAGCGGGTAGCCCATAGGAGGCAAAGTGTAGCGCGGATACAGCTCAAGTCCAAGATCATTTAACGCTCGTTGTCTCTGCTTTTTTATCGCCTCGTTGCTGGAAGGAGCAGCAGCAGTCGTCTGTGACCTTGCTGCAATCGCGGGGTATATGCGCTGTACTGTTTCCCGACAAGGCAAACGAAAAGCCACACGTACGGCAGACATTCCCAATAAAAAAGCGATTTAAAAGCAAAAAAAAAAAAAAA